ATCGAACACGTGACATACGGCACAATGGCAACGAAATTACTCTAATCACTCAAATTCAATACAAGCCTCTTGTCACGAACGTACAAGTTAGACAAACTAATTCGAGGCGGTCTACACGAAGCCCCAAATATTCACTTGTAAATTAGGCTCGCACAATGACTCAAATTCTAGACCCTCAAATCAACACTGGCCGCGAGCAACCGATCCAGCGGTCGCAAATAAAATACGCTAGTAGACAGAGCCGCTGCTGTCAAGCTACTGTTGCTAACCCACCAGGCCGAACGCCGGGAAGCGGCATATCCCCCCTCCCCCCTGGCGGCGCATACGTCCCCTCACACCATCGGGCGATGCGCTAAGTCAAAGGCGATTGGATGCCGTTTCAAATGACCATGTTTGGACCTAAACAATGATTATGTATTGTGTCTACAAATTAACAAACCTTTTATATTGTGCATTCTAGTGATACAAGTTTTTTAAATAATGCAACAAATTTAGTACATATTGGCTAGAAAATGGTTTTAGCTAGTAGAATTTAGTAGATTTTGTTGCTATGTTTTAGTAGATTTGTCAAATAAAATTTGGCTACACCGTAGATCTCCCGCGAAAATTTGACAATTGACCGTTGACGTTTAGGACGCCGTTGCCAGCAATGGGGATCCACACGCAAAGCTAATCGTAGAGGGCACCAGCGGCGCCATGGCTGCTGTCAAATTGTTGTAGATTAGTTTACATGAGGAGATTTTGCTTTTCTTTGTATTGAAACTGGTTGACCATCGATCATTTTAAGATGTATTGTACCTGGAAGCTTAAAGAATTGAAAGACGAACTAAAAAAACGAGGAGCGAAGATAACTGGAAAGAAATCAGATCTTGTTGAGAGGTAGGCTTGTATCTACTAAAATATTATACACCTGTAGACATATATATACAAGTTAAGGATTTGGAGCTAGTTTTGTTTGGAACGTGTTAATTATTTCTTGATCAATGTTAGGAAAATTTAGAGAACATTACTCAAATCATAAATGGTATTTTTTGCTTTTAGGTTAGAATCATATGACCGAAATTTTAATTTCGGCAATCAAAGCCCTGTAGCTTCTCAAAGTCAAGCAATTGATGTTCCTGCTGTGGAACTTTACCAGGACGTTAATAGCTGCACGATATTGCCAAAGATTACCAAAAAACATATTCAAAGTTATTTTGATAGGTAGGTAATAATTGTTTCTAACGTTTTTGTAAATATTAAAGATTATTTGTCCACTAAGTTTATTAAATAGTGGTTATATCCTTTCTCTTGATATTTAACATAATACTTTTTATTTCAGATTCAATAAAAATATCAGTGATGCAGTAAAATTGTATGAATCAAGATACATACTTAAAAGGTAGGTTCACCAGAAAATGAAGGTTGATGTCTCAAAAATAAATAGATGGTTAGGTGGTTAAAGTTGATGTGTAATATATTTGTCTTTCTTTTAAATATGAACATATAAATACTTCTTCCAGGTTTTTGCAAGGCATCTATGAAACAACTACAATATGAGGTAAACATCAAATTAAATAATGATGGAATGCCTGAAGAAGCAACATGTGAATGTGCAGCAGGAGAAGGCAAAGAAGCCCATTGTAAACATGTAGCTGTGGTACTTATTGCTGCTGAAAATATTGTTAAGGAAAAAATAATACTGCTACATGAAGTTACGACATCACAACTTCAAACGTTTCATAAGCCTACAAAAAAATATTATGCCACACCATTGCGAGCCTCCAGATTGCCATCCAAAAGGGATTTACATAACATTGTTTACTCTCCATATTTAAAACAAAACCCTTATTTTGATAAAAAGGCATTCCAATGCAGGTTTCAGTCCCTGATTTTAAATTATCCACTCTCATCGATGCCCCTTAAACAATTATTTCCAGCAGCTAACCAACGAGCAATATGTTTAGATCATAAATATATGGAAAAAAGTGCACAGGATGTTTTTTTAGAATCCATTAATTTACAAAATTTAACTGAAGAAAGATTAGTGGAAATCGAACTGGAGACTAGAGGACAAAGTTTCAATCCAAAGTGGCATGAGTATCGACAAACGCACATCACATCAAGTATATTTCACACTGTGTGCCATTTGAGAAGTGAAACTTTAGTAAAATATTGTAACCAAATATTAAATAAAAATCTAGTCCAAACAAGAGCGATGGCACACGGGATGATTAATGAAAAAGTAGCCATTAAAAAATATATGGAGATTTATGGGGTGGTTGTTGAAGAGTGTGGATTATTTTTGTCTCAGGAACGACCTTATCTAGGAGCATCTCCAGATGGCTTACTAGGATCGGAAACAATAATTGAAGTAAAATGCCCTTATGCTTCCAGAAACCAAGAAATCGGTCCTCTTACAGTACCTTACCTACAATTTGATTACAATGGACAACTTACTTTAAAAAAAACTAATATTTATTACTATCAAATTCAAGGGCAATTATATGTAACAAAAAGAAAATTTTGTAATTTATTAGTTTTTACCTATAAAAGTTTAAAAGTAATATTTATTGAACGTGATGAACAGTTCATTACGGATATGTTGAGAAAACTTGATTATTTTTATTACAACTTCTTTAAAAATGCTGTAACCAACAAATATTTTTTTAAGGATTAAGATTTTATAATATGCTAGGGCTGAATCTGAATGAGAGGGTGAGAAATTGTGTGATAAGAGAAAAGTGTGTTTTAAAATGTGATGTTGTGAACAGGATTAAGAAAGAAATTCTTTGGTGGTTTGGTCGTGTGGAAAGAATGAACAAGGAAAGAGTGACAAAGCAAATTTATATAACAGATGTGAACAGCAGAGTCGGGAAGGGATGCCCTAGACTAAGGTTTATCGACCAAATTGGAAATAAATTGAAAATGGGCCAGATTAACAGAACCCTTAACCAACGAGCATGTATGACTGTATGTATATGGATGTAAAGGAGGCGAGAGAGAGGTGTGTCAGGATTGTGTTAAATGGAAGTCCGTAGTCTCTGTTTACCCCTCTGGATAACAAGCGTGTTTATATTGTTTTTTAAGATTTTATAATAAACTATATGAACAGTTATAAAAAAGCTTTTTATTTCATGATACTTTCTCTAAAATTACAAGCCATAGCACAAACAAATAAAATTCTAGATGCTAGTGGTACATAATAAGGGCTCAATTCACTTTTTAAAATCTTATATGATTTAGCTAGACCTATAATACGTTCTATATGAACTCGTTTGCTTGCTAGTTTTCTGTCCTGAATTATTCTAACACCTGGTAATTGTGTTTTTCCTTTCAAAAACATTGGTATATTAATAGTAATGTCTCTTGATGCAAAAATGTCCTGCACATTAAAGCCTCTGTCTGCCATAATAGAATCCCCACTGTCACACATATTTATTAGTTTGGATCTTTCTATAATCTGTCTATCACTGACTGAACCTCCATAACATTCAGAGACATATGATATAAGACCTCCAGGTGTTGCTCCAATCATAGCCTTCACAGTGTTTTGATGTTTGTAACTGCTGAAGGTCACCTGCTGTGCTACTGGATTCCCAGGCCGTGTGATGGGTATTTCAGTTGTGTCCACAATAATCCTAGTATTTGGAAAACCCCTTTTAAACGACTCTGGCATATAATATTGAACCAATTCTTTACTTGGCCAAATATTAATTAAAGACCATATTTCATACATAAAATTAATCCATGTTACAAAAATGTTAGCAACAGTAGTTTGGGAAATACCAAATAAAAATGCCAACTCAAAATCTGGCATATACCTTCTAAGCTTTATTAGTGTTATCAACAGTTGGTCACCGATACAAACATTGATAACTTTACTTCCCCTGTAATTTAAATTATTACACATGGGACTTAATGTGTCTAACACCAACATAAATTTTTCATATTTTTCTAGCCCAGTATAAAAATGAATAGCCTGTGGATTGCCTCTCATGGCCTCTAGTGATAAGATTCCAAAAGAACTACCACATTGAGTGCTAACAGACACTGTTTTTGGCGTAAAATCTTCTATGGGGCCCTCTATAGTAGATATTTCAATTTCAGCACTAGAAGACGGTTCTGGAACACTTTCTTCTACAGATGGTTGTATAAAATCAAGTATGCGTCTGCTTCTTTTCATATAACGACTGGTTCTTGATGTAGGTGTTGTTGACACCTGGGTGGACCAAGGGAATATACTTGGTACAGTTCCCTTTTTCAGAAACTTGCATATTTGAGGATGTCCTGTAAACAACAAAAATTGAGAAAAATAGTACAGATTAATACAAATAACTTTACTGTACATGAGTAAAATAGATTTTATGAATTTAACACCATAATCCGATGTATGGAGGCATATATTACATACATTATTTATTTTATTGGTTCATTATTGGTTTATTTACTTCCTAGCCTTTACCCGGGATTTCGTTCACAAAAACTTAAACAAAAAACTACAGTATCTACCTATATAAGTGGGCTTTGGGCAAGTGGTTCAACTTTCGAAAAACCACTAGTAGAATCTATAATTAATAATAATGAATGAAATAACACACCTGTGTAGGCTGATTCTCCTACATAATCAGATTCTTGGAAATGATTCCGACATAACCTGCTATGCTGTGTCGCTACAAAATTTTTGCGTCTTATAGCCTTTTCCCACTTTTTTTTTAATGTTGGATCTTTGGGAAATAAATGTACACCGGGGTTAGCGCATCCTGGTACAGCACAAAGAGGCATATTTCGAGAAAACTAAAATTAACAATATGCTAGGTTATGAAACGTATGGATCTGACAGTTCTCAATGGCCATGTCGATGATACGCCATCTGGCGTGAGAAATCGGCAGTGAACATTGCCATTGCCAGCTGATTGTTTCATGATAAAAAAGAAAACACTATTTATTCATGTTATTTGTATGAAAGGTTGATTTTGATCCCAATCATTTGTGTTCTTGTAAAATAGGTAGCATAAATTATGAATTTTTCGGACAACGAAGCTGTAAGTACCGTACATTCAATCAGAGTGATTTAGCATCATGTCTTTGTGTTCACAATTTAATTCAATTCTTTAGATACAATGTTTAACATCTGTCTAATATAATATAAATTATTAACAGTATTTCTTTATTGTGAATATGATTATAGCTCTATTAGCCCCGGTAATTTATTGTATTGCTTGAATAGATTTTAATTCATCGAAATTATGTAGGATGACACATCGAGCGTTGAAAGCACTTCTAATACAGACAATACGTCTCGTAGTGAAACCCCTACAAACTCACGTGTGAAGAAACGTCGACGCGGCAAGAAAAAGGTTACAAAACAAGTCAAACCACCCTATAAATTCAAGTAAGTATCATCAGTCTTGTTATTCTCAATACATAGTTTAACTATAATAAATTGTTTAAATTATCATTAGCCTGTAAGAGTCCAGTACTGGACAAGGGCCTCTCCTTAATAAGGAGGATTTGCCTTAACAGTCACTTGCCAGGTAGATTGACAATTGCGGTACCAGATGTCAGTATACTAAAAATCATTATAAAATACTTAATATTATGACAATGTTTTATACGTGATATGGAAGTGAAGGTGCTGGGCCGTCAAGAAGAAGGATGAAAATAGACTGCATGCGAATGAAATGAGAATGTTACGATGGATGTGTGGTGTGACAAGGATGGATAAGATAAGGAATGAGTATATAAGAGGAAGCCTGAAAGTAGCGCCAGTGGTAGAAAAGGTGAGAGGAAGCAGATTGGCATGGTTTGGGCATGTGATGCGGAGGAATGAAAGTCATGTCACAAAACGAGTGTTGAATATGAATGTGGAGGGACACACGGGCAGAGGAAGGCCGAATAAAAGATGGATCGATTGTGTGAAGAGTGATATGAGAATGAAAGGAGTAAGTATGGAAATGACGGCTGATAGAGAGGAATGGAACAAAAAGATTTACTGCGCCGACCCCAGATAATGGGAAATGGTTTAGAGAATGATGATGTTTTATACGTGATAAAACCATGCTGCAGCTATATTATGGTTGTAGCATGATTGGGTCAGCTTGACCGGGATAGGGTCACACTCTCACAGAATACCAGCGTAAAATAGCAGCCTAATGCTGCTGTGTTCTGTGTTGCATATGATGAGTGCACCAGAGACCCATTTTAGTGGAAGTGAGGCATTCCATCTTAGTCCTCAGGGGTGACAACATATCTGCATTTTGATTTTTAATCAAAGATAAATGTAGATGTCTATGGGTCACAGCATCCACTTACGATCAGGTGAACTGTGTGATTGTTTGTCACCCTTATTCTATAAAAAAATGTTATGATTTTGTCTACATTTTACATACTACTAAGTTACACACACACACACAGTTATACTACTAAGTTTTCAACTGCACAACAAGCTGTGTACACAATACTCAGCTTTGTCTGTAAGGTTTGTATAAGCTTATAGATTGGTATACAGATACATTGGCTGTCTCACATGATTACAGGATTAGGAAATTGTCCTGAATTTCATCCATGGTGTGTCATAATAATATTATAGGGTGTTTTTTGGAGTTAGCTTGCTAGGCTACTACAAATTATCCAATAAGAAAATATATGTTATTATTTCTTTAAAATTTAAATAATTGACTTCATATCATAATGGAAAAGTCAGGAAGATAGATGAAGGTTTATTAACCAAATTGCCAGTATATTGAAAATGGGCCAGATTAGGAGTACCCTTACCCGACGAGCGTGTATGCGTAGTTATATGGATGTGAAGGAGCCATGAGAGGTGTCAGGATTGTTTTAAAATCGTAGTTCATAGTCTCTGCCTATCCCTCTGGGTGACAGGTGTGAGGATTTTTGTTATGTTATTTATGTTTAATATCATCATAGACCTCATTATAGTTCTCTATGTAGGTAAGATTAACCCCAATATAAATTTATAGAATTTTCTAAACTTTATCCATATTTGGATTCAGTTGCAGTGCCAAAGAGGACCATGGCCAACCATTATTTGGATGTCAGTTCAACCACCATCTTGGAGAGGGAGAGCCTCTGATTTTCGCAGTTGTGGGGAGTAACCGTGTATCCATATATGAGTGCCCAGAATCAGGAGGATTTAAATTTCTACAATGTTATGCTGATCCAGATGTTAGTATGGAAGATTTCCCAAAAAAGATTTTGATATCATACTTCATATTAAGTACCTGCTGAAAGACATCTCAGCTTTAAAAAACAAGAAATTCTTTCACAGGTAGATGAGACCTTTTACACCTGTGCCTGGTCATATGAAGAAGAAACCAACCTGCCCCTGTTAGCAGTTGCGGGCTCAAGAGGCATTGTTCGTATTTTTCATCCAGCAACACACACTTGTATCAAGCACTACATTGGCCATGGACATGCTATCAATGAAGTCAAGTTCCATCCTCGAGACCCAAACCTTTTGTTGTCAGCTAGCAAAGATCATGCCCTACGACTTTGGAACATAATGACTGATGTCTGCATTGCAATATTTGGTGGTGTAGAGGGTCATAGAGATGAGGTTCTTAGTGCAGATTTTGATCTTAAAGGCGAGAGGATAATGTCCTGTGGGATGGACCACTCCTTAAAGCTGTGGAGGCTAGATAAGCCTTCTATGAATGAAGCCATAAAACAAAGTTATAACTTTAATCCACATAGAGCTCTGAGACCTTTTAATTCACTAAAGGAACATTTCCCTGACTTTTCAACACGTGATATACATAGGAACTATGTTGATTGTGTGAGATGGATGGGTGATCTAATTTTATCTAAGGTAATTATGGTTCATTAAATTTATCGTTTCAAGTAATGTACTTTTAAAATACCATGTAGTGGTGATGTAAGAACATCCACTAACTGATATCAATAAAAATGACTAAAAATAAAACACTGCAGTCAACCCACTTCTCAAACATAGCAACTGTGGCAAACATACTCCCTACGAATGAGTGGAAGAAGCCTATTTCCTAGTTCAGAAGTGGTGTTTAATAGGCTGTAATGATACTTTTAAAATGTTGCTAATTCATATTACCATAATATGAAGTATTAAATTTAGCAACATCTTTATGGCAGTTCCTGCTCCGTTAACCTCTTAATATTTAAAAAAGGCCAATGCGGAGCAGTAAATTAGAGTTACTTTTAACCATGTCTATATTTACATACTTTTATTAATATTGCAGTCTTGTGAGAATGCGATTATCTGCTGGAAGCCAGGGCGGCTAGAGGATACAGAGTTGCGGCCCGGTGATAATGCAGTCACCATTGTCCACCGCTTCGATTACAAAGAATGTGAAATCTGGTTCATACGCTTCGCCGTCGACTACAGCCAGCGGGTTCGTAATTATCATCTTAAATCCATAAACCCTGTTCACGCTCCTAGCTGTCCCTCCAAAGGTCAAATATCCCGGGGCCCATCAGCGGTAGATTCGACGGACAACTAGGACGGAGCCCAAGTGGCCTTATGGAAAAATGTCCTATCCTATCACACTATCGAGAGAAGGGTAGGAAAATAAATAGTACGTACCTGGATCTGAGGCGAAGACTGTGCCAAGGTTCGGTCAGGCCGAAGGTGTGTACGTGCATGTATAGTGGTGTTTTAGTGGTGTGTATTGTGGTTGACCTGACTGGACCGTTGAAGCCGGCAGCAGCCCGGACTCCGGCACCGCCCCAGTGTGCAGTACTCTCCAGCGGCGTCACCCACGGTCAATTTCTTTCTTTCATTCACTAATTCAGTCTATCAACCTTATTGTACATTTAACTAACTTCAAGATGCAACTAAAAATCCCGTTAATTATAAAGCGTAACACACGGCACGACTCGTGGTTCAAAGTTCACCTTCGCTTACTACGCAACAAATCGATTCGAAACCCGAACGCGATCTTTTTAAGACGCTTAACTCAATGGTACAATTAAACACTAACTTCTCAATAATTAGCCAACCTGGCAACTAGTGTTCTAGACTACACGATTATTCGTCGCTGCACAAATTCGTTAACAAATTCGGCACCACGCGGCTCGATTCGACTCACAGTAAGCAACTAGCTAATTTAAACGCGCTCGAATACTAAATGTAGACCACAACTGAAAACTGGTCGCGCGAATAAACGCTGCAGCGGACACTACATAATACGTGGATTAACCGCACAGCTGCTCTGAATCTACTGGCTTCGCACTCGCGTTCTGCGTCCACGCCCTCTGCCGAGCGACGCACACGGGAGTGGGGCAAGGGTGACCTTTACAAAGCGAGCGGGCGGACACGAGTGGATTGCAAATTTCAAATGTTAATTGTTTGGCCTAAACAAACCCTATGGTATCCTTAGTGCTAATGTGAGGCTATAATATTATTGTCCAAGAGAGGTATGGACATAGGAATGGACTGTTTGTGTCTGTTGATCAGTAAAAGGACTACAGGTCTACTTTTACCTTAAATTTGGACCATTTGATTCATGCATTAAATTACAGTATTACGGTAACAAATATATATTTGTAACTAGCGATCCGCCCCATCTTTTTTATATCGACGGGTGGTTTTTTAATATCGTCAACAGCGCCACCTACAGGGTCCAATTGTGAATCTAAACCATCGAAAACCTACTCAAACACACAAAAAATTTCATCAAAATCAGTAAAGCTGTTTTTGAGTTTTAGCAAGATTAACAGACAACAATTGTTTTTTATTGCTAGAGAAGATATGAAATTAGGCTTGTGACTAATGTTTCACATACTCTGGACAAATAATGGGTTGTTATTTGACCTTCTAATTTTGGTTAATTTGACAACAGGTACATCTCTTGGTAGCTGAAGGAAACACCTCTGGATGTATCATAAATTCGTAAGCATTTCACGCAAACTAATGATACAAATAAGGCCATATGGATAATTTAGCTTAAATATAATTTACATGCTGGCAGAAATGTAAAAATTTTAAAATTTCTCCAATTTTCGCCGCTAAGCAGAAGTGCATCCGTTACTGTATTAGAATACAGTAATGAATGCACTCCTGCTTGCATTAAAGGACCCTCCTGGACTAGAGTCCGGGAGGGTCCCACAGTTGTTTTGTCAATCCTGAGGATCGTAAAGCTCTCCACTGGGCTCTGTCATGCGCGATGTGCCCTGTTTGCTGCAGTCACATATCGATGACCTGAGTGATTTGATCACTTTGGCTATTAGCTTGCCTCTAGCTCATTTGCTCTTGAGTTTACCCGTTATTATTTAGTATTCTTAGCTATGAATTATGATGAAATCGCTGGTATTATGAAAGCGAGGTCACCGGACCCATTTAGTTTCGGGTAAATAATTCATGATACAGCAGGTTGTATCCCACCTGCTTGGCTCTATTGTCACATATAAAAATATTTCATGCCAATATATTTCGACTAAAGAATTCATGAGGGTTACACTCCTCCCTCTGGAATACATACCAACTACAGGTAGCATGGCACCGTCACTTTTAACAATATTTGATACCAATATTTGTTCCATTGCTAACGAGTTTGAATGTTGTGTCGATCTATTCAAATTTTTAAGCATGAAAGCCTTACTTACCGTAAGCACTTTCTTCAGAACTGAAAAATTTGCCTTTAAAATCCTGCTGCTGAATATAAAGCCTCTCCAAGAAAATGTCACGCTTTTTATAAGTTTTGTCTGTTCATTGAACTTAGTGTCCCCTGTTTCCATTTGCAGGTAATAGCGTTGGGCAACCAGTGTGGCAAGACGATGGTGTGGGAGCTGGGCAACGTGGCCGGAGGGTCACGCGTCTCCCAGCTCGTGCACCCTCGCTGTGTGGCGGCCGTGCGCCAGGTAACTATTGACTCTCTTCTACCTTCCCTCGTCTATCCACTCAGGCTGGAAACAGACTGACGTTTCACTATAGGCATGGATACGGATCAGGGATTTGCAGATATTCGAATCCGCATCCGCATGGATTTAGACATCTGCATCTGCATCCGCATAGATAAATGCGGATCTTTCATGCGGATGCAGATGTGTAGCAAGTCACGGCACGATCATAAAATGAGAATGCACACGCTGGTGACAAGATCCATCGTTTATTCAAATTCAGTATGTGTCAGTTACAAAAGTTTTTTTGCTGTGTTTGAATAAGATTTATTGTGTGTTCCATAAATATTTCGTCGTATAAATTATGAATTAAAAAAAGTGAATAAAAATGTCGCCACCAGTAAAAAGTAATATCTTATTTTAAATTAGGCGAGTGATCAGGATAAGTCCCACTGCCACAACTTCTTTGAAAAATCATCTTCAATCAATGTACCCAGAAAAGTTTAGTTTTTTCGAATGCTCGAATAACAAAAAAACAGTTGATGCAGGTAAATTGGAATTTCAATCTAGTTTTATAAGTTTAAAAACTTACCGTCAGACTCAATGAGAAGTAATTCTCAGCTATAGGCACTCTTTATAAAAATTAATCAAATAGGAACACGAGTTTACTTCCCCTAACTTTTATATTTATTGATAAAATTCAAAATGTTAATCAGACCAAAATTTAAAAAGGAAGATGTTTACAATGTGATATTATCATTTATTTTATGATATTTTTATTTAAAGGCGGTACTTCTTAAGGAATTTAAAAAATATAATATATAGATATCTGACCTCCTCCTTTTTTGAAGCCGCTTAAAAACACTTACAGGTTTTTATAGTAATTATTGATGTTGAGTTTGTCCGACTTCAGACAAATGTGTAATTTTTCATGTTTTACTTTCGTTAATAATTAATATACATATATATAATGACTTGCAGCGCTAAGCGGCGCGTTTAACTTTTCCTAAAAATAAACACTTGAACTCCGCATCCCCATCCGCTTCAGCAGATGTCAAAAATTAGGTATCCGCAACAACCCTGGTATGGGTCCAATCCTTATTAATATTTTTAAGTAGGTATAAACAGAATTTTTGAATTAATTTTCTGCTATGCATTGGTAGCCAGGCCATCTTAGTAGACTGTACTAGGAAGTGACGTTAAGATTGAAAAAAGTTCACATGTTGCTCATTTCACTGTGGCTTACTAAAAAAATTACATTTTAAAACTTTACTTACGGTGGTAGAGCCATGCTGCAGCTATATTAATTGTATAGTTGTAACAAGAATGGGTCGGCTTGACCAGAGAAGGACCACGCTCTCACAGAATACCAGCGTAACATAGCAGCTTAATGCTGGTGTGTTTCGTATGGTGAATGCAAAGAATCGGAGACCCTTTTTACTGCAAAAGAGGTATTCCATCTTAATCCTCACGGCTGACAACGCATTTCGATTCCTAATCGAGGATAGATGTAGATGTCTATGGGCCACACCAACCATTTACCGCCAGGTACTCGCTTGTCGCCCATATCCTATAATTAAAAAACACTATACAATATCATCAGTTGCCAACTTTTGCAAAGTGTGGTAACTACGGCAAGATCAGGCACTCTTTGTGCGAAGTATTACTTTGAGATGATTTGAAAATTACTTTAAACCATCTAATAAAATTTCGTTATTATTTAAAAAAGTTAAGCTAATAGTAAATTATACAAGTAATACAGCCTTTATACATCCTATTGCTGGGCGCATACCTCGCATTTCTTAGAGGGTTATAGGGAATGAAAATGTCAGCCGCACTGCCTCAATCCTTGTTGGCGGACTTCACATGTGTTCGAAATATTTTTTTTTATTTCTCAGACAGGTGTCCTCACATTTTTCATCTCCGCTGAGCATGGGGTAAATCCAAACTTAAAATTGCAATTAACAATTTCATTGGTGCCGGCGTTGATCAAACTTGAGCTGCTCGTGTACTTTTAAACTTTTCTTCCTCGCACGACCTCCTTGTGGAATCGATTACCATCAGCGATTTTTCCGGACCGATACGACTTAGGGACCTTCAAGAAAAGAGCGTACTCCTTTTTAAAAGGCCGGCAACGCATCTGCGATTCCCCTGGTGTTGCAGTTGTTCATGGGCGGCGGTAGTCACTTACCATCAGGTGAGCCGCATGCTCGTTTGCCCCCTCTCCTATAAAAAAAAAAAAATTACAGCCTAATTTAAGGTCTTAGCCTCTGGGCTACCACGGTTTTAAAATTTTATCAAAAACCAAAATAATTTTCTAAGATTGCTTTAACGAGGCATCCTTAATTTTCATTTGACAAGAAAAAAACAATCAATCCTCTGGCAAATGACATTCTCGCCAAAAACTTTATTTTACTCTAACACTCTTAACATTACAACTGTTATATATATTCCAGGTAACTTTGTCGCGTAACGGCAAGGTGCTGCTCACTTGTTGCGACGACGGCACCATCTGGCGGTGGGACCGCGTCAGCAACGGGATCAATTAGACATTATGCATTTATGAAAAATATATGTATTAAAATTTATATGACATAAAACTTTTGAAGTGATCGTCAAATAAACAAGACTGGCATTAGCCTAATTATATTATGATGTTTATTATTACACTCAAATCAACAAAGAAAGACGGAGCGCTACGTATATTTCAAATGATGCCAAAATCATGCTCAAATGTTTTAAGTCGGCGCCAGATATAGCTTTAAACATTTGAACACTTGTTTGAAGCTATGTGTGGCACGGGACTTTGAATCAATGTTCAAATAAGTGCACAGAGAAATGCACTTCGCCAAGCGGTTTCGGTTTTTTAGCGCGCATCAAAACGTTCAAAGGCGACAGTGTTCAAATGTTTGCGTAAACTGCCACAATTACGCAAAGTTCATTCGCGCGAGCGTTGTCCAGCGGTACAGTTGTGCGCAGTACATATTAAAAATAGGTCCAAGCATAAAGACAGTAAAAAACAGTCGAATTAATGTTATTTGTATGGTCAGCTGAAAGATAAAGCACTTGGATGAAGATGACAGACTACTTATGAATTAATATAAAATTAGTGTAATCGATAATCTCGTATTTAAATATTTTATTGTATTATTTTTGCACATTTAATAAATAATGACATGCACTTAAATAATACAGGCACACTGCATCTACAAAATCGTTGTCCATCTTGTTTGTCATTTATCAACGTACTGTGGAGATATGTGTTTGCAAAGCATGTCTGGCAGGTTGCGCCAATAAATGTACAAACAAGTGTGCAAAGTCCTTCAAATATGTGTTCAAATGTTGTTTCTATATCTGGCGCCTGCTTAACACGCACACATCTAACTAAAATCATGTTCGTTGCAAATTATTTTAGATACGTATGTATACGTGAGTGCCTATTCATACAATAAGTTAAGCATAGTATTGGCTTGGTTTTCACGACACTAAAAATGTACGCAGCGCTCTGTCTTTTTTCGTTGGTCTGAGGCCTCTGCCTCGAATTTTGCGGGCAGCGAGGCGCGGGCGGTGGCGGCGGCGACGCGTGAGCGGGCCGGGCAACGCAGACCCGTTCTCGAAACCAGCGGGCAAATCGTGCGACACTAACGGCGTAGTGATGTGTTCATGGTTATGTTGTCGAGATATTTGTTTTTATTCGCGAACGAAATGTCTGAACAACGGCGACAACATCTTTTTGATTTAAATTAATTTCTAACGCTCAATTTATTGTGGGCAAAAGAAGAAATGAATCCCTACTAGAGGGCAAGGAAAAAAAAGGCGAGTTTTATCGAAATACGATGATTAGTTATTTCTACAATCACAGATTTGTTATTATTTGACAGTATTTTTTATTACAAGGTTGATATACTTAGTGTCGAGTATTATACCCATACATATATGATTCATTAGAAGGGTATATGCCTTCATTTACACTTAACTCGTCTAGAAGAGCTTGATTAATTTTTTGTCTCACTCTAAACTTTTGTACTGGCGTGAATTTTTCCATTTGTGGAAGCAAACTCATTAAAAAGTAGTAGTCTAAAATAAATTTGCTCTTGCATGTCCTAGGACATTTCGACACGTCACAAAAATAAATTGCACAACACTGCAATGCAGACGCGCGGGCGGTCACCGCTTGACTGGAGTTCACCGCTCGTTGCCCGCCCCCACGCCGCTGTGTTCGAGGGTCGGTCCGTTTGATTTTACGGATAAGATCCTGCCGCTCTCGCGCCACCGCCGCCGCCCCGCTGCCCGCAAGATTCGAGGCAGAGGCCTGAACGATATTACATTGATGTTTCGTGGCTGTGTAAGGGAGTGCATCACCTCATTTCGTCGTGCCGTCAATAGCCTGATGGCGATATCACTAGTGTACTTAGATGTTAAATATCCATACTTGAGTCCTCCAACTCAATACAACATCCGAAGAGCGGGGGCATAGCGGGACGCGGGCACTGAGTCAGCCACTACGCCAGCATCGCACAAGCCCTCGCGCATCTCATTAACAATACATCTTTGTCCCTGAGTTTAACAACAACCGTTGTAGGTAAAAGTTTTTAATATATCATATACAGTCCACTCCAGTGCGTCTCATTTAACCAACCGAGCTAGCTACGAAAGCTACACAGACCGACGACAGGAATTAGTGTCAAAGGGGCTAAACATTTGGGTACTGCGATAGAGAACTGCGGTCAAACGATTACGGAATTTTTTATTATTGAGATGAAATTTGAAAGACCAGACTAAAAACAACAAATAATAAGCTGATTATTTGTCTATAAAAAGTAAAAAAAGTAAGTAAATATTCGCATTAAAACAAGATTGGTGGAGAATAAAATAAAGAAAGTTTATGACAAATTTTATTTAATTACCAACATATAATCGCTACATATCAACAAATTGAATCACAGGGGCCAAGGTGTTATCTCGTGTGGGCACTACAGCGGTCAACTTAGTTACGCTCCGAACCATATCTCTAATCTAAACTTGACTAACAGCTATACACCGATAAACAACCCTATTTCTCTACGCACGACATTCAGTATAACCTACAACTAGGTACTATTTATATAAATGACTGTGTAATTGAATATAAGTCAATTATTCCATTTAATTCAGTCTTTAAATTTTTTAATCAAACAATAAAAAGACTGGAGAAATATTAACCAATAGAAAACACTTTTAATATTATAAATTGGATACAATTATTTTTGAATTTTTATTTATTTTAAAAACTCCTTTAATTATAATTATGTTTTATTAAATTTAATTGAACTACTTATATGCATCTGTTCCTGTTTTAAAATATGAGTTTGTAACTGCGGATAGAGGGTTTTTATATAATACTGACACCATAACAATATAATTGTTTTAAAATGACTTAGTGCCCTAAGTACAGTTAATTTATTGTATCATCATTACCACTTCCATCCGAAAGCAATCATTCAAAAACATTTCAACATAATGTTGAGCCAATTTGAAATGTTCCAACACCCATAATTTCGAACGGAATCACTTTTTGCTTATAACTGTAAGTTAATGCTAAAAATAACGATTAAATTATATTAAACGTTTGCGCATGTTTAGTGAGTAAAAAACAAAATATTCACGAGAACATTCCATTCGAAATAATTTGTGTCCATGTGAATTTTACATGAATATATTATACATGCAGTTTATAGTTAAATACAAAAATGAATCATATATACAAATGCAAACATAAATCAGTGTCCTGTTGAGAAACTTATCAGCTAACAAATAGCAATGATCTTTCTCATCACTTGTAAAGGCACCAACAAACCATTCAAAACAATAGTCAATAATGGTATCGTACAATTTTATAGGAAGTTTTTCTAATTATCTATCAATTATTTACCATCTTTAAATGTATAACTTCACAAGTAGTGTAGTAGTGTTTTCAACGTAGACAGAGATTCCAATAGGCAGCGTAATATATATTGTTTCATTCACAAAACAAAGGACGCATATATCATATTAGCACTCGTAAGAAAGGGATATAGCTACTATATTGTTGTCCTTATTCCCGTACGACCAAACCGTTTGGCATTAAATTTAGTGGCAGACACTGCAACTGTCACGGAGTGTTTCAATGTTTATTATTATGTTTAAAAAATTATTTGCAAATAAAACTCGATAATTGTACGTTTTAAGTTAGAAAATTATTTGATTTTATACCATATCATGGGTTCGTGCAGTGTTATTGACTGTAAAAGCCGCAGTGAACGAAAAATTGAAGGCATTACATTTCACGCGTAAGTAAACTTATTTCATGAATATCTATTTAAATAACTTTCTGAATCACGATTTACATGGAAGTATTAATGTTCACGGTCATTTATTTCTATAAATTATAATGATATTATCATTATTAGCATAATTATAATCTCAAACCTATGTTGCCAGCTAAAGTTTATGATAACCCGGAGTACAATTACGGCGAAAGTACCTAATGTAATAAATATATTACATATTCACCATTGCGTTAATATACCTGTGCTTATTATGTCATTCATCTTGATGTTTTTTTTATTTGTCATTGATTCGGAAATAAAAAGAAAATGGGTCCAACAGCGCACTGTTTACGGACTGGCCGCCTTATAATACGGTACAATATAAGTATGAAAACGTTACCACAGTCCCCGCAATAGGCTATTTGACTAATTTAACGAAACATTTTAAATGTTTTTTTATTACATAATAAGCAAACTACATTTATATTTCCGGGAGATCTACCGTATTAACAATAAAAATCAAAGTTAAAGTTTAAATTTCCAAAACCGCGCCAAAAACGTTGACTGTCACACACATGTAAACAAGTCAATAACCGTAATAAAACAGTGCAGCTGACATGAATTTTATCATTTTTCTTCAAATTTATTCGTTAAAATGGTGTATAAATGGTATGTAGTGCCACAATGTACTAATACGACTATAGTATTCCGCAGAAACTGTTTGTTTCTGTTCCAACGAATCCCAAAAGGCGTAAAATGTGGTTACAATTAGCTCGAAGAGACCCAAAGAGCATTTTAGCTCATACCAATGTATTTATATGTGAAGATCACTTTAATGTAAGTAATATTTAACTTTATATATACTAGATAGTAGCTAAATATCGGTTTTTATATAAAGTAATAACATCTTTAAATACCTGCTCCTACTCTTAATACGGCTTTATCTTACAGCACAAGTTGGAAGGATCCTTTTCAATCAAACCCTATAGGTTTCCCTGTAGAGTTTCAAATGTTTTCTGTTAAGTTGTTTTGCTATCTTTATAGTTTTATTTCATTTTTTTTTATTGGATAAGGTGACAAACGAGCACCCAGTCCAGTTCACCTGATGGTAAGTGATTGCTGTAGCCCATAGACATCTACATTGATCCTCGTTTGCAAATCAAAATGCAGATGCGTTGTCACCCGTGAGGACTAAGATGGAATGCCTCTTTTCCAGTAAAAAGGGTCTCCGGTTCTCTACATTCAACACACGAAACACAACA